AGATTCGACCCTACCACCACAGACTAAAGCCCGTCATCGTTGCCCATTACTCCGACTGTTTGAGAGGTAAAATCTTTGTTCTGATTTTGCCCATAAAACTTAATTTAAAAAGATATCTATTATCTTCCTAAATTTCAGGTGTATTTTTAAAAATATATAAATGTGGGATCTACCACATGAGTGTTGTTAATAACTATATATGTGTTTATCTCTAACAAACATATTATATTTAAGTAAATTAAAAACTAAATAAAATCTATTGATAGTTAAAGTAAGAGTAGGAATAACTCGATTAAAAGGCTGCTCGAATAACAAGGCGTCAAAGACAAACATGTACAATCAACTTAGACAGTGAAGAAGAGGTATAGATGCAACAGTTTATATATGACTTATTTGTTTTTTAAAAAATCATCCCATAGATGTTTTATCTTTATATACAGATTGAATCATCAAAGACCCCGGGAGAGACTCCAATGTTAAATCATACGAGCAAAAAAATGGGTGGGGGAGACTTAATCGGAGGTAAAACAAAACAGACTAAACTTGGCCCTAAAAGAAATTTGGGTTGTAAGGAATGTACCAAGAAGGTAAGAACTCAATGTATGTTTGTGTTGAATAGTAATATTTAAAAATTATATTTACTAAGCTAATTCTACATTTATGTTTTAGGGAAAAAGAAAGTGTCTCAAGATAGTTGAGGAAGAGCTAGGTAATTATTGGGATGTACATGTACCAGCATTAGTCAATAGATCTATTGACTTTCGTATTTTGTTCATGAATTGATATATACATCTGTTGACTTTCATGTTTTGTTAATTGTTGAATTATTAGTACATACATATATAGACGTTTTAATTATTGGAATATACATGTACTAGTTTTATATTTATGATATTTTATTTATACAACAGTGAATAGATGTATTCAATTATTACTTTTTGGTTGTTTCTTCAATTGATATATACATCTATTAACTTTCATGTTTTTGTTAATTGTTGAATTATTAGTATATACATATATAGATGTTTTAATTTTGAAGATTGAGCTCGTGATATATATGTGATTTGTATTCTAATTTTGGTTTTCATCAACTGGTATATACATTTACTGACCTTATGATTTTGATAATTCTTCTAATATAAGGATGATACAAATCTGAGGAAGATAATCAAATGGTGAGATGATAACCGAATATAAGGATGATACAAAATCTGATAAAGATAATCAAATAGTGAGATGGGGATCGTGGAACACTAGTAATCGTTTAAATTAACTGAATTTCCTAATAAAAGAATTAAAATAATTAGGATAAAATCGTAGGGAACAAAATTTGTTGAGTTGTTAAAATACTTGTAAATTATAAAAAGCACAGGAGGGCATTATGGGGAAAAACTAAAAAATGTAAAGATCCAAATATATTTTTTAGCCATTTTTACAAAATTATAAACAAATTGACATTTTTTTCACCAAATTTAGCCACTTACTCAAATTTCCTTAGATTTTTTAACTAATTTGATTTTGAGCCCAGTTTTGTATGACTCAATTTGACCAATTAAATCCAATTTGAGTGTCCAATAAAAGACATGTGACATTAGTTGGGAATTGTTATTTTTTTTCTGTAATTTTAATTTGGGGATCATTTATAATTGCCCCCAAATTTGACAAAATATACTATTGTCAATAGTAACGTGGTCGTTTATGACTACCCGAAATTTATGGTTCTACAATATTTTCTTTAATGAATTATATTCTTCCAATATATGTTATTTTTTTATAATATATCTACTAAAGGTATTGTAAATAAAAATAAAAATAAGCCAACCTAATATAAGACATATATCTCTAATCAAAAGATGATTGGTTTGAATCCCCACCCAACGAGTTGTTGAACTAAAAAAAAAAACTAAAAATAAAAAATAAAAAACGGAAAATAGTTATCAGCCATATTTTTGTTTTTATTTTTTTTTCAAGAAAAAAAAACATAAATGGTTATCAAACATATTTTTATTTTTTATTCTAAAAAATAAAAAAAAATAAGAATTGAAGTAGAAAACAAGCTGAAACAGGAACGTTACCAAACATGTTCTTATTTTTGTTGTTTCTAAAATTTCTCTAAAATTTTTAGAATGTTTATGAAAAAAGTGAGAAGAAAGAAACCTAAGAGCTCGTTTGCTAACATTCTCATTGCCTATTTCTTATTCCATTTCTCAAATAGATATGTCTGGTAATCCATTCCATTTCTTGTATATAAAGTTTGAAAAATATTTCAAAATAAAAAAAGAAAATTTTGAACTACAAAACTAGTTTTGTTTTATTTGTTTCTGCTTCTTAGCTTAGGATTAAGTAATATATGGTGTAATTAAAATCGTTGTATAGCTCTGTTGGTGAGCTAACTATATCTTGACGTGCTTGGCTCGATTCTCAATTGCAACGTTTTTATAGTTTCTTTCTCTCTCTCTTTTTAATTTATATTTTCTATTTTTTCTATTTACTTAATTTAGTATCTTTTTGTTTTCAATTTATATTTTCTACTTTTCATAAAATATTTTCTTTTATAAATTAAAAATATTTTGAAAGTGTATTCTCTTTTCACATCTAATAATTTAGATTCCTAGAAATATATATTGTAAATTATATTATATTTAATGAATTATAATTCAGATTCTCAATTGCAACACTTTTATAGTTTCTTTCTCTCTTTCTTTTTAATGTATATTTTCTATTTTTTCTATAAAATATTTTATTTTCTAATTTATATTCTCTCTTTTTGTTTTCAATTTATATTTTCTACTTTTCATAAAATATTTTCTTTTATAAATTGAAAATATTTTGAAAATGTATTCTCTTTTTAAATCTAATAATTTAGATTGCTAGAAATATATATGGTAAATTATATTATATTTAATGAATTATATTTCTCGTGTATAGATTATATTTTTTTATATTATATTTATTAAATTATATTTTAACTAAAAATAAAAAAATCAATATGGTAGATATCCCTCATCAATGTGTTGTAAGCTGTTAAAATCTTCACACCCACAAGTTATTACACTAAAAAGAAAATTAAAAATAAAAACAAGAAAAAAAAACAGAAAACCAGAAAGAAGAAATAGGAAATTACCAAACAGAACTTAAATTGAGAATGAACAAACCACCACTCAACTCAAAAGCTTAAGCTTATGAGTTGGGTAAATTTAATTCATTTATATGGATTCTAACACTGTCAAATCCTTAGATTTCTTAATAAAATTAGAAATAAAAAACAAGAAATGGGAAGGTTACGTTTTGAGATGTTTTTATTTTATTTTGAGTCTCGATATTTACTTACCCCAATTACTTGCACAAGGAGGAACAGCAGGTTAGAATTCCAAGTCTGAGAAAGGGATTCTTCAAAGTCAAAATAACTCAAAGCAATGGACCAAATAAAAAGTGTCTCAACACTTAACCCCACAAACTCACATTTATGTTTCACTCTCAATATTCTTTTTTCAGCCTATGCTTTTTTCTTCTACTATAAAAACTGGATTCCCTCCTCCCCATTTCAAGCCAACACTCAATACTTCACTCTGAATTTGAATCATTTTCCATCTAACTACTTACTTTTCTTTTCGCCATGGGAAGAAACAGCGGTGAGAAAAAGGCTCGCTCTTCGTTCTCGATCTTCGGGTTTTTCAAATCCAAAAGAGGTAGAAAGGGAGATCTTTATAACCATTGTGGCACTTGGGATGAGACGTCGAGCGTGGGCAAAGTGTGGCCGAGCGATGAGGACAAAGCTCACCATTGGGTTGCTGAGCTTGGTATTGATAGAAAGGCGAAAGATTACATCGATAGGATCTATCGTAGTCGTGTCTTGGAAACCGAGCGTGAAACTATGATTGTTCGTCCATCTTAAACTAGGCGAAATTTGTAAATTCACATTTATGTGTATATTTTCTTTGGTTTTTGACGTGTCTGTCGTCAATTATTATTTATAATTGTAAGATTTATTGATATTCGAATTTTAAAAGGTATGACTTCCATGTTTAGTTGTTTCGTCAATCTGAACATAACTACGGCTGAATATATCTCAACTAAAAAGTCGTCTTCACCCACATGACCATTGTCCTTAAAAAAGACTTTCCGAATGCTTCAAGTTTGACTAAAATATGTAACATCTTAAACCGTGGTCCTTGATTAAGTAATTTTAATTCTCAAGATATATAGTTAATCTTTTTTCATTCACCAGTCTATAATCGTCTATTTTGTTTAATAATTTAGATGTACATATTTTAAGAAATAGCAATAATAGGGAAAAATCAAAACCACCCCTAAATTATCAAAGATCTTTTGAGTACAACATATGGGGATGGGGGATCGAACTCATAACCTCATGGTTCGAGGTATATGCTCGTTTTGGTAATTATCAAATATCTTTAGAGTCACACCATCGAAGTTTTAATTTGATCAATCACCCCACAAAACTAATCAAATATGATTCTTATAAACATCCTTCATCCCCATATTTGTTGTACTAAAAAATACACAGTAACCAGATGTAGATTTACGATCATCAGGATCAGACGCCCAATCGGAGTCGACATAACCTTGAAGTGAAAGATCCTTAGGTTTGTGGAAGATCAAACCATGATCAATTGTGCCCCGTAAATAATGTAAAATACACTTAACAGCTTGCCAATGAACCAGAGAAGGAGCATGCATGAATTGACCGACTTTATTCACACTATAAGCTAACTCAGGACGTGTAATAGTAACATATTGAAGGACACCAACAATACTTCTATACAAGTGAACATCAGAAAATTTTTCACCGGAGAATTCAGAAACAATTGAACCACCAACCATAGGAGTAGTAATAGAATGCGCCTCGTGCATATTTGTTTTATGCAACAAATCTAAAATATACCTCGACTGTGGTAGAAAAAGTCCTCCATTGGAAGAAAAGGAGACCTCAAGTCCAAGAAAATAACTCAAATGATCCAAATCATTCAAGGAAAATTTAGCATGAAGTGCACGAATTCAGAGAGTCAATATCAGAGGAAAAGGTACCAGTGATGACAATGTCATCAAAATATATAAGAATGTAATACATAGAACCACCATAATGTCGAATAATGAGGGAAGAATCTGCACGCGAACTAGAAAATCCCAAAGTAAAGAGGAACGAACTCAGCCGATCAATCCAGGCCTGTGGATCCTATAACTTATATGGAGATATAAACTAAATCTTACACTAAACTATAACTTATATATGAACTATAAAGTATATACACTATATCCCTCTAAAATTAACAAACAAAGCAAATAACCTACATAATGAAATATATATGACTTTATCATCGAATACTTTATAAATACCCCAAAATCAAACACCCAAAATCAGAAATAAAAACAAACATAGAATATTTAAAACATAAACGGTAGAAAACGGGCTACCGAAAACAATGGTGAAAAGCGAGCGAGTCGATACGGGCTGCCGAAGAGGGTAACTAAAGAAAATGGAGAACACTAAGAAGACGAGGAGACGACTTGCCAAAAACAATGGTGAAAAGTGACAGAAAAAAAGACGAATGAAGAATAGAAAGAGATAACTAAAAATTTGGGAAGTTTTTTTTAGGAAAGTGAAAAGATGGATAAATTTAGGGATTTAAAATGTAAACCCCCAAATTTAGGAGATAACTTAAATCTATTGTTTTTATGTTTTTTTTTGGGAAGTTTTTTTCAATTTTGAATTTCAATATCTTAATAATAATTATATGTATATAAAAAATGATTATTGGTAAAATGGAGATGGGTTCCATCTTTAAAGGGTGTATTTTAAGACAAAAAATGTAAATTTTGTAGAATGAATCTGTTTGTGTAATTATCATCTCAAAAGGGTCTATCAATGTACTAATCCCTTTAAAAAAAATGATGYCAAAATTATAAAAGGTCAGACTTATCCTGTAAGCTCAAAACGTGAATAGCATTGATGTATGTTTGGTATATACTTGATATACTACTGATTTACCACCGATATACCACTAATATACCTATGATATCTACTTATATAACTTCTTATATGATTACATGATTTACAATTTATTAATTTACTACTGATTTAGCATTGATGTATTTCTAATATATACTTGATATATCTTTGATATACCACTGATGTACCACCGATATACAAGTGATTTGCTTCTGATAAATTATGATATCTATTGATATAACTTTTGAAATGATTATATGATTTACCATTGATTTAACACTGAAGTAGCACTAATATACGTTTTATATATACTTGATTTTCTACTGATATACCTCTCATATAACTATGATATCTACTTATATAACTATCATATATGTGCGTTGATATATATTTATGATATGATTATATGATGCATCATTGATTTACTATTGATTTACAATTTAATATAACTGATATACCAATGATATCAAATATATTGCCTCTAATATGTTTTTTTGATATGCTACTAACATATCCACTGATTTTTTTTTTGAATGATATTGCAATACTTGTTTATATGTAAAATGTTTTGAATTTAATCCTATGTTTGCCGATTTGTTCATAGTTTGTTGATATCATAGTGATTCCATTGATTTATTACTTATATAGCTCTTATATATATCTGATGTATATAGTTGATAGACGATACTATTGATATATTACTGATTTATCACTGATATAACTATGCTATCTACTGACAAAGAATAAATTTGTTGCTGAGGTTGAAACTTGAAAATCATTTCCATTGAATGACAAAAAACATATATGCTTCAAATAGAAATCATCAGTTTCTAATATAAACAAGTATTTGATATTCATCAAAGGTAGATCAATACTTGACATTCATCACTGTATTCCACAAGCTAAACGACAAATAAACTAAAGCAAAATAAGAATCAAATTGGAATAAACATAAAAACAAATGTACCAAGAGACTAAACAGAAAAAGAGAGAAATTTTGATAGATTCCAAAGTGTGTTCAATTGAAAAACAGACCCACGATTTTTAAATCTATGCTCAAATTGTCCATTTTCATTGTTTTTCCCGATCAGCCACGAGTAAAAGATTAAGAAGAAGATGAGCTTAAACAATGAAGAGCGTGAAGCAGGAAGTTTTAATGTGAACTAAGAAGAAGAGCGCTTGAATGAAAAAGAAGATTTATAGCAAAGTCGGAAGTTTCAATCTGAGCCAAATGTTTCAAATTCAGCATGAACGATGATGAGCCGCGAAGTTGAAAGTTTAAGTTTCAGATTCTGTAGCGATTCGACTTAAAGAATAAGATATGTAGAAGCTAGAAATTTTAAATTCATAGCCATTTGACTCGAACAAGAACATTTGTAGAAGTTGGAAGTTTCAGATTTGGAAAAAGACGAAGATAGGGGAGGAAACATGCAAGATCTGAAACAAAATAGGGAAACGTAAAATTAAAATAATAAAAAATAAAAAATCATATTTCAAATAATTTTACATATTTGCAAAATCCAAAATTTCTTACCATATTTGTAAGAGGTCATAAAATTTCAGAAATAAAAATTTTAATATTTTGCCATATTTGTAAAATACAAAACAGGTTCAGAAGATTATCTAAAAAAGGCTTAAGAAATGCACTAACATTTAATATTCATACGTACATCGTAAGTATATCTGAAATCAGGAGTACATCAAATGTATATCAAACGTACATAAGATGTATATCAAATCTCATAAGGGTAAAATTGGTATAATAAAAATTCTTGAAATAAAAATTTAGATTTTTACAAATATTTGTAGAATATAAAAGAAGTTGACATTTTTGCAAATATGGCTAAAGATATAGCTACTCAATGTAATTTCCCATATAAGAATATGTATTATAATTAGTTGAATAAATCGATAAGTGTTAGTCTTCAATTCATTTAATTTTAAAATCTCATGGGCAATAAACACTTCAAATACCCACAAATTTCCGAAACCAAATTATAGTTCATATACACTAGGGCTTGGTCCCATGTTCTACCTGTTATAAAAATCTCGAACGTTTGAAGGCAACAAGTTACATTCTGGGTTCATAATTAGTATGAAATCAAGGTGGAAATTGTTAGAGTTAATTTCTTACTAATCATTTATTATTAACTGATTTGTTATGAAGTAATCAAAATTAAATCCTTTATTAAATCTGTTGCATATCTCCTTTAGTAATTGGGTCATTTTGGAAGTAAGGCCCAAAAGCTTTCCAGCCCATGTTTGTTGTTTTAGTTGGTCCAAATGGAACGAACCCTAAAATCCCCTAAGCATCATGATGAAACCCTAGAGAGTAGATTTTTGTTAGAGATTTGGGTTGCTCTCCCTCATTGCCGTGAAACCAAAGAGAAGGTAAAGGTGCATGCTTTCATTGTCACCATGAGAAAAAAGGGCTCCATTGGAAGAATCGAACCCACGCCGGAGAGACGACGCCGCCACCCATCGATTGAGTCGAGTGGGTTTTGCCACCATAAGGTGTTTTTTGGCGATCTTCGACATTGTGAGGGTTTTTTTTCGGTGTTCTTGGTAAATATCTATATCATCTTTGTATTTTCTCTTGAATCTTTCCTTTGATTTCTTAGATCCGACATTGTTGTACCTATTGTATGTTTTTGTTTGATCTCTAATAATATTGACTAGCAAAGATCTTATAATCTTTGCTAGTGAAGTAGGTCGTTAAGATCGAACCACTATAAATCCTTGTGTTTCTTGTTCTTTTACACTTACATATACTTTCTTTGGTTATTCTGCGAATCGATGAGCATCAAGTCATAAAGAATATTATTACTATAATTTTTAGGATTTAAACGAATATTTTCAGTGTTGTAAAATTACTGTATAGACGATAAATCGCCCAAAGATCATTAAAATCGATCGTTAAAATTACAACAATTATCTTAGTCATTATCTAGGTGAGCAGCATTGAACTCGGTTGAGGAAGGTCAACAAAGGAAGTTGACTGCAAACATTAGCTGAGTTGTCACTAAATTCATCAATTCTCCACCTTGACAACTATACATCCAAGAAGAAATCAGGTAGGAGGCCTTCAATCAGCAACTCAATTAGTTTCTCCAATCTTGAGAGTCTTCAAACAACTCTCAAGGATTTTGGTTTGCTGAGATTTGGTAATAGTATATGCTGCATTGTCTTGGGAAGCTATTTTTTCTAACTGGATCTTCCCATCTGATATGATGTCTCTGATGAAATGATATCGCATGTCTATGTGCCTGGTTCTTTCATGATAATTTTGGTTTCTTGACAAGAAAACAACAATTTGACTATCTAACAAGATAACTATATGTTCTGAGAAGTATTCATCGAGCTCTTCAACAAGCTTCTCAATCCATGTTATCTCTTTAAAAGCATATGATAAAGCCATATACTCAGATTCTGTTGTTGAAAGAGCAACAACAGTTTGTAATGTAGCTTTCCAACTAACTACATTTCCAAATAACGTACGTACTAAACCCATTATAGATCTCCTTCTATCTCGGTCGGGTGCATAATCTGCATCAACGAATACTATCAAAATTTTATGATCCCGTTGAATAGGTTCATAAAGCAACCCATAGTTTATTGTCTCTTTAACATATCTCATTAGCCATTTAACAGAAGACCAATGTGATTTGCCCGGATCATCCATGTACCTGCTAATTACACTCAAACCATGTGCTAAGTCAAGTATTGTACATACCATTAAGTACATCAAACTGCCTACTGCACTTGCATATGAAATGTTATTCATTTCAGACCTTTCATCTTCTGTTTTAGGGGACTGATCAGATGAAAGTTTGAAATGATTTGATAGAGGTACATTAACAGCTTTGCAATTCAACATATTAAACTTTGACATCATTTTCATGGC